TGTAGGTACTAAAGTTCTACCTTTAAACAAATTCTTGGACTACTTGACCTTGTTGAATGTTGCTCTTTGCTGATCTGTGGATGATGTAATATGTGCTCATGATATCTGTGATTGTTGAATCACTGCTAATGAATGAGAATCATTGTACCAAGGTGAAGTATGAAGGGATTTTGGCACAATGATGAAACTGCCCATTGGGCTTATTGAGTTGGCCCAGCTGGAATTAATTTGAAGCCCAGGTAACTAAAATCTGTTTGGTGCAAAAACGTGTTTTGAGAAATGGTTGAAAGTTGTGTTTCACTTACCTGATTTTGGATGCCTCAGATGTCACCACGTGTCATCTCCAACACCATTGGATTGGTGACAGTGGAGTGACTCTTATAAAAGGGCTTCTAGGGTTTAAGTTCCACAGCTGCTGTTTTGAAACTCTTCTATTATCTCTGTGCTCTCTCTGCGTCGCTTCGAGTTATTTCTTCTTTGCTGTAGAAATCAAATAATCTCATTTGATTTCTGTTTTTCTCTCAATAGCCTATAATCTTGAGTGATTAACTTGTATTGGGTGTTGATTCTTGAGTGAATCGCATTGTTAGCAAAGGAGAGATCTTACTATGATATACATTGGGCTTGTCTGAGTGTCATCCATGTTTGTATCTTTTCTTTGGGTCTGATTCAAGGTTTAACTGTGGTTATTCTTGAGATTGAAGCACTGATTGGATTGTGAAGTATAACATATGGGTGTTTATTCATTTATTCGAATATTAAAGATAAGTTTACTTCTTAGTTTTTTGCTTCTTGTTCGTGTTTCTTAGCCTGTGTTATGCTTTTGTTGTTACCGTACTTGTTCTACAAAGTATAATTTCAGTTTTTTTGATGTGTTAGTGAGCTAATCTTGTGTGAACTGCTCCCAAAAATTGACGTGGAGACTATGGATGAGATGTTGTAAAGCTAGAAAGGAGGGTGTTCAAGAAACTGTGGAGGAGATTTTTTGCTCGATAAAATTCTGGTTGTAACATGTGTCGTCCAAGCTAAAAAAGGAATGAACTCTTTCGCAATCAGAAAAATTGCTTCTTAGAAACTTTGATATCACTCCAATGGAGTCCCATGAGAGAACTTGTCGAATTATAAAATGGGCTAAACCTTCTGCTGGTAGAGTAAAACTTAATGTAGATGGGAGATGTCTAGGCAATCGAAGAATGGTTGGTGGTGGGGGGGTTGTTAGGGATGACATGGGCAGGTTAGTAGCATGTTTTTCATTTTTTTTTTGGATATGGCTCGAATAATGAAGCAGAATTGAGGGCGCTTATTGATGGATTGACCTTGTGTTAGGACTTCGGATTATATCAGGTGGATATTGAATGTTATTCGTTGTTGGTGGTGTCTTGGATTTTGGCAAGGAAATGTACAATATGGTACTTATGGGATTTTTGGGAAGTTCGCATTGAGCTTTTAAAGAAGTTTGACTTCCAAGTCATGTATCAGTATAGAGAAGCTAATTGGGTTGCGGATGAGTTGACGAAGTTAGGTGCGAAGGGCAAGACAGAACGATTCTTATCATGTAGGGAACTAGAGTTAATTCCTTAAATAGTCATGAACTTTACAAAAAGTTTTCAGGAGGTCATCGAACTTCAAAACTTCCCTAAATAGTCACTGAACTTTGCAAAAAGTTCTTATGGGGTCACTGAACTTCAAAACTTCCATAAATAGTCACTAAATTTTGTCAAAACTTCCCATGAGGTCACCGAACTTTTGTAAAATGGGACCCCATATATCAATGATTTAGTGACCCCTATGAACTTTTTGTAAAGTTGAATGACCATTTAGGGAAGTTTTGGCAAAGTTCAGTGACTATTTAGGGAAGTTTTGAAGTTCAGTGACCCCCTAGGAACTTTTTGCAAAGTTCAGTAACTATTTAGGAAATTAACACAAGAAACTACCAAGGTTTTGTCGAGGTTTGATTCGCTTAGATAGGATGCGTATGCTATACATTCGTCGGAGAAGATAAACTATTTTTCGGTGGTTGTTTATATTGATAGGAGCTTAGTTTTATCTGTCAAGTTTATTGGTTGATGGGCTGTAACTAGGGTTTTCCTCCGCCTTAAGTGAGGGTTTTTTATAAATAAATGTCTATTTTGGTTTTTTTTTTTTAAAAAGACAATACATTGCATTGAACAGTTTCATGCTTTCGAATAGGTAATATTAATAATAAGCTTACACTGAACATATCAACTGGCTTACAGTTTGAGAAGCTAGCCCGAGTGCTAGATCCCTAAGAAGACCGGTTGCCAATCAACCAAAGCTTCTATTCCTAAAACAATGTATGCTGGTCCACTACCACTGA